AAGGCTGATTTAAAAGCATATAACTAAGATCGGTGGATCTCATGGGAATATGGTCGATTTCTGATCCCCTCAAATTAACGTGATCGAGGCCGATCGATCGGTGCGCCGATCGATCGGTGCACCCCTAATCTATATGTCAGTTTCTCACAATCTCGTCCAATAGATAATGAATGGATTTACATGACCCTGTTGGGGTCTCTGGGTGAAGGTTCAAGGGGTTCCGTCTGGAATGGTGAAATTAAGCGGAATATAGATATGGGCTAGTAACTACACTCTACCTCAACCAGCAGATATATTAGTGACTAATAAAGAACAGTTTATTTGACACACATATATGAAATATTGGCCCACCTACCGGTGAAGTGGAAGGATATCGCTCACTCGTTTATCTCTGCTTGTACAGCGCGGCCTCCGGACGCCAGAGGGCAGTAATATTGTGAGTAATAAAACTTCTAGCGAAGAGGACGGAGTCGGTCTGCCTGTCATCGAAAAGTCCCTAGTTAGTATCGGACAGGGTTGGCAAAAAAAATACGTCCAGGCTGGGAAACGACACTTTGTGGCGGAGAAGGAAACTCCATAGACTGAGGGCGAAAGTAGAGACGAGGGGGAGAGGCTCTGCCGCTGGAGGTAGGCGAAACTCGGCTTCTGAGATCCGGCGTGCTCGTAGGCCGCACAAATTCTCAGGTGCTTCACTGTTTGCAAAGATAACCGCCCACTGCCCGGGCTGGACTCGGTCGCGGGCCGTGGCAGGTGAGGGGTCCCTGAAACGAGGCGATAGGGGGGCGGGGGTGTTGCCCGTCCGCGCAGTCCTTCGGAGGTTTGGCCGACTCGCTCTTCTGATGCAATCGGACATCACAAGCCTGGACTCGGCAGGCTGTCAGATGGGCTAGCGTGACTGCCTGGCACCCCTAAATCGGAGTTTAGCTAGCCGCCTCTGTCAGGCCGCTTCATCGGGACTAACCGCTGGCTAGTTAGTTAATGGATCGGTTTGCTGGTAATCTGGCTGTGCGGGTGCCGGGCTAAGAGGCCCATCGAGGAGGCCTCTGCGGCAAGGTGGCTGTTCGGCTGGGCGTAAATTCAGCCTCTAAGGGTTTGCGTCTGGTTGTTTCAGGCCCCGTTGCGCTGTCAGCATGATTAGAAAAACATTTGGGGCATTTATTTAAAGTTATTTGTTTCATGTTTTCCCCCTTTTCATGTTATAGTTTGTGGTTTTTATTTTTTAAAAACGCGGCTGTATTGTCCGGTTGTAAGTTTGTGGCGATTTGATTTAGAAAACTTCGGTGTCCGCTAATGGGTGTTCTATTCTAACTATGGACTTGATTGTATAATTAGAAAGTAAGATTACGACTTTTCTCAGAAGTCGAATCAGTTTGAGTGGGTTTCTTGTGTTTTGTTATTTCGGGGGGGTGAAGCCTGTCACCTGTCATCTCTCACCTCTGACTTGACACGTTGGCTGTCATTAACGGCCCGCATAAATCGCCTGTGCTGATTTGGGTGCTTCGCTGCTTGTACTGTGTTGGCTACGTCGAGCTGAATGAATTCTCGGTCGCATGTCCGTGTCCGTGTATTTCCCGGGTAAGTGTAATATGATCGCGTATATTCCACACGTTTGGCGGGGATGTAGTTTACGTTTCATACCAACTATACGATTGCGGTTAAAACTACACAGGGCAACAGTTTTTACTGAAACTACTCAAGAATATACCCTTCTCACTGGCCTGCTGGGCTATAACAGTTGAACTTATGTGTTTATTTCTCTAAGTACCTTCCTGGCTGTACATATTTTGAACACGGCGCAGTGCGGGATGGACGGTGCTGAAAGCTCATGATTTTTTTTTTTTATCTCGTACGGTTTTGTGAAGTGGGTAAAGGTTCGGTATCATCACGCTGATTTTCTGAGGATGCTAGGCTTGGGAGGCCCAGTGGGAGGAACAGAGTCCTGGAGTTTCGTTTTCGTCTCCGTCCGCCGCACCAATCAATGGCTGTTGGAAAAGGGGGAAGTTCTCTCTTCGGCTATATTCGAGATTGTTCGGCACGGTTTGGGTCATTTCACCGGACGCTGGACTTTCCAGAAAAGTCGTCCGGGGTTTTTTTTTTTTTTGCCGTCGTTGAAGTCTGAATGAAAGCTGCGATTTCTGGGCCTGGTTAGTAACAAAGGCTACGCAGAGGATTTTTTAAAATAAAAAGCTTATTTTGAAACCGTCTAAAAGCCGCTTCTCCTGTGGCCACGCGGTCCACTTAGTGTGTGCGATTTTTTATAGTCATTTCAAGTTACAATTGTTTAAGGTTACGTCCCTGTATCGCGGCGCACACCAAGAGATAAATTTGATGGACTTGTATTGAGCCAGGTAAACGGGCCGTTCGACAGAGAGCTGGGAGTGCTTGTGTGCTGTCCGCGTCTTTAGCCTGAAATCGTATTGTTAAACCTTAGATCATAATTTCAGTTGTTTCGAGATTGATCCATACCGAATGACTGCAGACGGTGAGATAATGCATTTTTCTTAAAGCCATGTCATTCAACAGTTTGCATGTGACCCAGTTAAATTTGCTTAGCAAAAAACGTGAAAGAGCTCTTTGACATGCTAACTTTGCCATCAAGTCGCATCACTAGCCTAATTCAAATAAAATCATTTTTGTAGTTTTACCGTTCACATAGTTTGAGATTTCAACTTCCTAGACCGTCTTAGCCTAAACATTTTTGCATAACTTGAAAAAGTGATGCTGTTTTAGTGTGTGCTCTACTAGCCTGTTCACATAGTACCAGTGTGACTTGAACCATATAGCTGGCTCTAAAACTGAGATGCTGCTGAAGGGTCTGATTATCTGTATCAGGTGTGTTAAATTAAGGCTGCACCAATGCTCTGCTGGGTGGTAGATCAGTCATCTTCTGAGTATAATTGGACTGAATGGCATTCTTTCTGCGGTGATTAAAGCATCAGAAACTACATTTGAACTGAAAGCAATGTGTCTTACCAGAAATCATGACTTGGTTACTGAAGATAATCCACAGACCTTGTTGTGAGTAGTTTCATGCAGAAACTATTTTCTTTCTACCAAATTCCACAAACCAACCATGCCACTGTGTCTAAGATGGCACTTGGTAGGGTTGGGCCAATATCTGAATTTGCATTATTGACTATTGTGGCAGAAGTATGTAGATTATTGATAATATCTAAATGTGATCACTTAAATCAAAATGCAATGCAAAACATACTTATGTTTCCATCTTAACTGTATTTCTAATAAATGCTTTGGTAAATATACAATCTGCAGAAATAACCATGTGATGTTTTATTTTAAAGAAAAGGTCACAAAGTAGTGCTTAAGAGACAAAAAAATCATTGAGTTAAATCGTGCTTTTTAAAACATAAATACCAAATAATACATTTACAAAAGTAAACAAGGTATGTCATCTATCCTTGCATAGATTATGCTGCAGTTGTGCTTTACAAGTGTTTCTTGAGGCACTTTCCCACTGAAATTCAGGAACCTAGTTCTGAGTTCCTCAGCCATCTCAACCAGGAACTTTTGTAGCTCCTGGCCACTTTGGTGTGTCGCTTTCTCACTGCACAACAGGAACTTGGACCTTAGGCTAAACAAGCTTGGGATATTCAAAAAGTAGGTTCAACTTCACAGAGGATTTTATTGGAAACTGCACCCCCACCCCAGAACTAGGGTAAACAAGTCATTTTGTTAGCTGTTCGTTACTGGGGGACTGATCACAACAGGACACAGCCTTTAATTTGTTTTATTTGTATGACCCACAAAATATGTTTATAATTCATTATTAAATCTGGCCAGCAGATTGAGCTTTCATTTTTGACATAATAAAAAAATGATGTAATGTTACTCCACTAGCAAGTTTCATGACCAGCGGTAGCAAAGGGTAAAGCTTCAGTCTCAGCCTTGCATTAGCTGTGATAGCACCGTGCATGTTTACACTAACTGAATACATATATTTAGACAGTAAAAAGACAATGATAGATGGTAAAAGTAATTATTATATAATAAAATACATTTAAAAATAGATTTCTTATTTTAATAATAATAAACCATTAATATGTTTAATTTTAATAATAATGTTGGGCCGAGCGGGGACGGAATGGAGACAAAGGCGCAGACGTCAGGGTATCGGGGAATATGGGGTTTAATTACAGGTAAGGCAGGCAAAATGCAATGGGCAATACAATCACTGGACTGGGGAAACTGAAATGCGGACAAAATAGAGGACTAATGACAACAACCAGAAACAGCTGATCACACGGGGATTCCACATGGGTTTAACGAGGGGGCGTGACACATGGAAGGAGCGGATGATCGGGGCAGGACACATTGTTTGGATACATTTATTTTCTTACTTTACAAATTACTGTTTTGATAAATGTGCTTAGATGTCTTTAGTACAGTATATGCTCTTCTTGTTTTATCCGGTACATTTTGTGTTTAAATGCTAAAAAAAAACATATTTAGGTGTAATTTTTTGGGGCCGGGAACCAATTAATTGGTTTTCCATTATTTCTTATGGGGAAACTTCGATCACAGAACTTTTTAGGATTCGATCCGGAGTTCTGAACGGATTAAATTCGAGTTCTGAGGTACCACTGTATATCCATTATTGAATAAATTTTCCAATGCAGAAATAAAGAAAGAAAATAAAAAGGTATGCATTAATGTATTAAATGTAATTGAGGTCCAAAAATAATTGCATCTGCCCTATTTTTGCTGCGCTACTACTTATTTCTTTTCCTGGCTCTTCCGCATAACTTCCACATTAGTGCCGATGCCTGTGGTCAACCAATTGGCAACCAATCGCTGAAAGTCCCTTCCCAGTGGTGCCTCTAAGGAACTACAATTGCACTGAGTTCCTGCAGTGAGAACACAACAGAAGTTCTTGGTTCCGGGAAAAAAGTTCCTGTGTTGGAAAAGTGCCTTATCTCATACACCAGTTCTAGCTTTCTTCAGGTGTTTCACGTGATATATGATGATGGATTAAAAAAAACTAAACCGATGCAGGGAATATTTGCAAGTTTTACTGGTACACCTTGCTATAAAATTTAGTTGCACCTTCAAAATGGTCATATAATGCAACTAAATGGTTGCAATCTGGAGCCCTGTGCTTGTATAGCTCACATTATATTTTTGTTCATGAGCAATCCATAGGCAATGTTTCTTAAATTCCATTATAATTTCCAATGTTTGGTTCAGAAGTACTTGTAAAATTTCTATGTGGTTGGGTGGAAATGACAGAAAGCTTTACAGCCTAATGCCTGGTCTAGTACAGGAATGCCCTTTCTTATTGTGTTTACAACTCATGACAAAAATGCAAAAACTACTGAAGATGCAAAGCGTTCTTTTGACCTTTTATTTTCCCCATTTGAAACAGGAGCAGGAAATATTGCTCAAATAAATAGCACACCGGCATTATCATATAATGAAGGTAAAACGATGCCCAAATTTTGGAGTTGAATAATAATGAAAAAAAATTAAGCTATGCTTTAGTATGGATTTTTAGCGAGAAACGCAAGCATCTTTACTGTGCTAGGGTTTTTCAGTGTATGCAGTGGACATGCAATTTGCGGCATCTTTTTAGCAGGATGTGCTTATCACAGAACTGCAGTAAAAAAAACAGGTCTGCACAAAATCACATTGCGATATAATTGCAATTATATGCTGCATGCACAATAAACACCGGGGCTTTAGATGATCTGTATAAATCTGAATTCATTTATTATATTTATTAAATTCTGCTAGCAGGCCACACCACATGCTACTGTTTTGGTATATCATGGAAGCAATAAGGACTGACTGGCGGTGAAGAAAGAGACAGCTTAACGCCCACAACATCTTTTGAAAGGAGATATTGTGGATGAACAAGGTTAAAAAAAAGAGATGTCAGTGGTGTGGCAGTACTTTTTGCAGTTTAAAGTCTGATACATTTATTAAATACAATGGTACACCACATTTATGCAGATTACTAACTTTACACAATACAGTTCTCATTAATATTTTAGGTGTTCTACTAATCTGCTTACCAAATTGTGGGTGTAAGTAAACGTCCGTTTAGTACAGAAAAGCTGGTGTCCGGATAATGTTTACGTACATCCTCTGAAGCCTTGGTGATTATTGCAAATATACCATATAATCACGATATGATTTTGTGCAGAGCCAGAAAAAAATGGATTTTTCATGTTTTTTTTTATCTGATAATGCAGTTTAGCCCAGTGAAAATAGAATTAGTTGTAACTGACAGTGAAAACGCTCTCCACACATTTTTGATTATATTGATATAGTTGGAAAAAACAATAAGGGAAAAATATCATATTTATCGATACTATTGATTATCTGAAATCATGCTCCTGACAAGATGATTGGATGTAGACATCAATGCTAGAACTTTGGTGCTTGGCGAGCTGCCATTATTATTATTATTATCATCAGTAGTAGCAGTAGTAGTAGTAGGAGGTATTATTACTTTTAACTAAGAAAATATTGTTGCTTTTGGTTATTGTCGGTAGCTGATTCTAACAAATACTGCTAACTCATCTAGCACCACTGAGCTTGATAAAATTAGAGCTCAGCCGTGGTGGATGCCATTGATGTTTACATCCCGTCACATTGTCAGGGGCACACGCACCCCAGCACTATCTTCTGCCTAGTGATGCGCTTGGTGTGTGGTGTTTGGTAGAAAGAAAATAGTTCCTATATGAAACTGCTCACTACAAGGTCTGTGGATTATCTCGAGTAACCGGGTCATGATTTCTGGCAAGGGATATTGCTGTAGAAATGTATTTCTTTGGTGCTTTAATCATGCCACGCAGTCCCATTATATTTGCGAGAGGACTGAGATTTCTATGACCATTATCTCCAAAACTAGGCAGCTCTCCCCACAGCAATCTAGATTGATAAATAGCACTACAGCATAACTGAATTTTTATTTATTCATTTTAAATTTTGTAGTGAACTGCCCCATTAATGTCAAACGGGATTGTTGCTGTCAAAATAGCTGTTAGTCAAGATAGTGTTCCCCCGCCTATCGTGGAAGTTACATTCTAGACACATCAGCGATAAGTGAAAATCCGCGATATAGAAAGACCATATAAATACAATTTTTTTTTTTTAGAGTTTGTCTTAAATCGTAGGGCTTAAAACAAAAGTTCACAAAAAATTTGCTCACAACAATCGGACCACAAGCAAGGTACGCGATACACAGAGAACTGTGATGCGTCGGAGATAAATCCGGTATAGCGGGGGGCGCGATAGCTAAAACGCGATATAGCGGGGGATCACTGTATAGGAATTGATTAAAGTAGTGGTGTGTGGGGTTTTGCCGGCTGTTTGCTGGGCTAGGCGATCTCCTCTGTCAGGGCTGTGGTTGTATGTGGGTGATCTTATGCTGGCTGGCCATCTGGCCTGGTGTATTGATAGCACTCTTGGTGTTTTGCAGCAATCATGGTGGGTGAACGCCGTAATGGGAACCTGCTGGTGCAGCTGGGTCCTAAGCAGCAGGCCTACCCCGAGGAGCTAATTCGGCAGCGGCGCACACACGACGGCCAGACAGAGTACCTGATTCGCTGGACCCTGCTGCCCATAGAAGATGGAGGTGGCTCTGGGGGCGGGTCTGGTGAAGCTGGTGGTGGTGGTGTGGGCAGCGGCTCAGGCTCTGGCGGCTGCCCATCTGGGGAGAACAAGTCAGAGAACATCCTTATGTGGATGTCTGCAGAGGATGTGTATGCCAACTGTCCCGCCTTGCTTGGTAAGCGCAAGGCAGATGTCCAGCGCCCCCTGGAGGAGCAACGGCCCAGCGGCGAATTTCCGGCCGACGTCACTTTCGACGAAGTGGAGCTCTCCGACATGAAGGATGATGTCAAGAACCTGGTTCGCCGTGCCCGCAAGCAGATGACTAAGAAGAGCGACCTGGCCATCAGCATCACGCACACTATTCACGTTCTGAGTGCCTACGCTAGCATTGGCTCGCTGGTGGGCGTGTTCAAGGAAACGGGAGCGCTGGACCTGCTGATGGAGCTGCTGTGCAACAAGGAGAGGCAGACGCGTCGCAGTGCCGGCAAGATGCTCCGCGCTCTGGCTTCACATGATGCAGGTATGCCCCTCCTCAATCCATTACTGTCATATCCAGCTAATACTGATTTAGCTGTTAACTGCATTATCTCAAGAAGTCAACAGGACTCCTTCGGAAGTTTTCTGAAGTCAGTGAGAGGTGATTTAGCCTCAAAATCACTGCATTTTAGTTGGTTGCTCTCCTCAAACAATATTTATTCATAAAAGTTCATAATATTTTGGAGTAAGTAAAATAACTTGCTTCATATGATTTGGAATAATGTAAACAACTCTTACAAAATCTCATTGATTTAATACACTAACATTAGGTAAATATTTGTTAGTCCTGTTTGTCATTTAGCCTAGCCTACTTTTCATCACTTGGGAAAGTGTTTATGACCTGGCATGTATGCTAAATGTGACTTTTAACAGAAATGTGAAACATAATAATCGTTGAATTTCATTACGATCATTTGTAATATATTTGTTATCATGCCCACCTGATGAGCTTTAGACTCCCTATCCAGGTGCTCATTCACTTATGATGGGGTTATGTTCTGGTGAACCCACCATAAGTGGAAAATATTGTTGAATATGAATATAAGTAAACAAGTACTGTCACTGAATAAGTAAATAATTAGTCTTACTAAATATCAGTAATTGAAAAGTAAACAATACAAGTTTATTTGGTGAAATACAGGAAAAAAAACAGTATAGTTGTTAAACACTGTATTAGATGTTATTCTTGATCACTACAGAGAAAGCTTGGCTGCGTGGATGCTGCCATTGCCCAGGAATCAATAGAAAGTACAGCCCAGGGACCAATTGGAATTCAGATTTGACAACTGAATGCGCCTCACTATTGTCGTAAAGTCGAGCCATCGTACAGCAAGGAGCATCTGTATAAATCAGGGTCAGCAAGAGACTGATGCTTCGCCAGGTTAGATGTGTTGCTCCCTTGTAGCAGTGTTTGCATGCTAGGGCTGTCGCTCAGCGAGGTTCACCCTTTTTGTTGAGTTTAAAACCAAAGTAACACAATATTTCACTTCTGCCTCCCTGCTTATCAACTACAGGCAAGCCGCTTCACCCCACAGTCCGACTATGTCTACCCGGAGCATAGATTCCACTATGTGACGTCATTTCTTAAACTGTTTTTTGATTTGTGTAATAGAGGTGTGGCTTCGATAGGCCTCAGTCCCCCCAGTGACTCAGATCAGAACAAGAGGTTAGGAGTTGGATGGATGGTTTGGTCCACATTTTTGCATTTAAATCTTTATTGTAATAGTTTTATTTTGTGATCTCACCAAGCACAACTCTATAAGTGATTGGCTGCTCTTGCTCCTGGTGCCTTTGGGGTTTTCCTGCTCAGTGTTTAGTTTGCACGCACTCTGTGTCTTTTTGATTCCCTTGAATTAGCTCTGGTGCGTCGATTGACTGCCATGTTGGGTGTCTCTCGCATTCCTATCAGATACCTGCGTGTTTGTGGCGAGTCGGAGATGCCTCTCTGGGTAACTGGAGAGTACGGCTTATGAAGAGGAGCCATCACAGCTCTGGCAGCTGCACCAAGCCCATCTGGCTAATGTGCTAGTCATGTACCTTAAGGAGCTAAATGATTAGCCCTGCCATGGAGGCCTAAAGTCATCCATGGTGATAGTGGGTCTTACCGGTAAGCCCTTCAGCTAGGGCTTACTCACTGGTAGAGAAGGGGCCACATAGTTTTTGTTGGTATCCATAGGGAGGTGCCCATTCTAGAGGTGACACTTGCTCCTTTGTAGCCATATGAAGTGTGGAAACAGCCCCTTGATTGGCAATTCTCATTTTGTCAGTTATGCGGCTCTCCATAGTGGCAGTGACTTTGGCTGGTGGCAGTGTCCTGATGCAGTGTCACCTCCAGGCCGGCAGGTCTTTTATTGTCCTTAATGTCCATCTTGCTGCAGCAGCGCACCTAACCAAACTTAGATTGTGTGAGGGTGGTAGACATGTCTTGCCATGACTCAGAGTGTGGAGGATCTCTAAGAGCCCCTCCCACTGACTGTAATCTGCTTCGCCCACAGTGTTCCACATACCACGTTAGGGCACGTCACAATGCTGAGGTCATGTGCATACTTTAATCTCTGCTGCTACCCTTGTTACTTGATGAAGTCTGTTGCTTAGGCCATTGTTTGAGTAAACCACTGTGGCAGTCAAACAGGCCTATTTCTGCCATTTACTTTTCTAACCAAAATCAAAACCTTGAGAAATGTTGCCTTATTTCCCTGTCCTGATTTGTGCACTGGCTGCTCTGATGTGATGGCATACATTTAAACAAATGAGCAAGGAAGTCAAGACTCAAAACACCGAATGCCATGTAATCAACACCTTATAGGTCTATTGGGGATTCAGAGCGGAGTTTCTGATTTTTATTTTAAAAACAGAACATAATTAGCAGTAGATCACTTCGTGGCAATTTCCTCTCTGGTGGTCTCACACTACCACCATATGAGCTCAGGGTCCCTTTGAGCTGATGCTTATGGTGCTGCTGGTCTTCTCCCCCAGGGAGCCGAGCCTACGTCCTCCTGTCCCTGAGCCAGCAGGATGGCATCGAGCAGCACATGGATTTTGACAACCGTTACACACTCCTGGAGTTGTTTGCAGAGACCACCTCCTCAGAGGAGCACGGCATCTCCTTTGAGGGGATCCATCTACCCCAGGTACTTTTGGGCTGTGCGTGTGTGTGTACGTATGTGTGTACATGTGTGTGTTTTGTCTCCCGTGTGGTGCAAGTTATGGTGCTTTTATCGCCGTCTGATGGTGCTCTGCCCTAGATCCCAGGGAAACTCCTCTTCTCGCTGGTCAAGCGTTACTTGTGTGTAACGTCCCTGATGGACAAGCTGAACACCGTGGGGACGGAGTCCAGTTCAGAGCGACAGGAAGGTGGAGTCTCTAGCTCTGCCTCCTCTGGAACGGGCCTCCAAACAGAGCAGTCACGGGTGCAGCGTGAGTTTGAGTTCACAATGGCCATGGCCAACTTGATCTCAGAGCTGGTTCGTGTCATGGGCTGGGACCGCAACCGGCAGCCTCCCCCCGAGGGCCCGGCACCCGGGGCCAGTGAGGAGGAGCCGCCCCGCGCAGCCAGGTCCATCTTCCAGCCCCGCTTCTCTGCCCCGCTGCTGCCAGCTGCCTCACCACCCAAGAAGAAGGTGGCTAACAGTTTCAAAACTCGCGCTGACTTTGCTAGCCGCTCCGCCTATGTGGAGTATGTGCAGGAGAATCTGAAGGGGGGTATGCTGGTCCGTATGCTGGAGGACTATGAGGAGGTCAGTGCCGGTGACGAGGGTGAATTCCGCTACAGCAACGATGGCTCGCCACCCGTGCAGGTACCTGTCCTTCATGTCTGTGAAAAAATATGAGATTTGTGAGGTTTTCTTTGAACTTGGACTGCATGCTGTTCCTCGGTCCAGCCTGGGATCCTGTTTAGTACAGATGTTCATGTAGGTGCCCCCATGTTAGCTCAGCATCAGCAAGTGGTGTGGGCCGGTTCACATGGGTGCTCCAGCTATAGATATATAGTACCTGGCCCCTGTCCACGTCTGCGGCAGTTGGTTGTTGCCTCAGTCAGTTTTCACTTGGTCCTCACTGCTTTTCAGCACCCAGGAAGCAGCTTGGAATCTGATGGTGTACAAGAGTTGATCAAAAAACAGGGAGAAATCAAACATTAGCCCTGAATTTTCAGGGACCATGTACAGTATCGTAAGTTATGTTGTAGCAAATATGGCAGCCCACAGCCTTATGAACAGTTCTGAGGTAAATTAGGTTTAATCCTTGTCCAAAGTAAGGATCCCATTAGAAGAATGGTAGGGGGTGACTGGGGTTTTTTAGTGCTGATTGTTTCCGCCTCTCTGTCGTTCCCGCAAGACAGAGTAAACCCTGTGCTCTCAGAAGGCCACTTTCCCTGCTTGTGTGAGTTATATTGGTCCCTGACACTCTCATGTGGGATGTACTTTTCTCATTTCCTGAAACAGGTTAGTTTTCTACATTTCATACTGTGTTGAACCAGTGCCGGCCCCATTCCATGCGAAGGTTTTCCGATTCCGAGGCTCATGTTATGTCATGCTGCCCATTGTTCCTCCTCGGTTCTGAAGGATGTGTTTTCTGTGTCGCAGGTGTACTGGAACTCCCTGTCTCGCACTTACTGGGTGCACTGGCACATGATCGAGATCCTGGGCAATGGCAGCAGTGGGCAGGCAGAGAAGGAGACCCAAGAGAAGGCCTCTTCTCTTACAGAGACCCTCAAACTCACTGCTTGTAAGTCTCTTGGATTTTCATTCCCGTTGCTCTTTTGCAGCCGATCAGCTTTGAGCAGTTATCTTTGGTCCTACCTGTTAATGGATCTCTGGGGCTTTGAGATGCAGTGTTTGTGCAAGTCTGCCTTCTCTTTGGCGAAAGAGGAGCTATGTTAATGTCTAAGTGCTGACTCTTGTCTGACTGCCTCTTGCCTTTGTGGCAGTGAGCCAGACGTTCTTCTCCAAGCCACCTGGGGGCCTGTACTCTCTGCCCTACCTGGCCGACAGGCTGCAGGAGGACAGCGGCACGCTGAGCCGGGCTGAGTGGTGGGAGATCCTCTTCTTTGTCAAGAAGCTGGAGCCCAAGCAGCAGCAGGAGCTCTTCAACTTGCTGAGGCAGAGTCTGGATGATCAAGTAGGGCTCTGGACTGGCCCCATGCTCACAACAGATTTAACAGTATTTAAACTTGAAAGCAGCTAAATAAAGCTAAAGCAAAGAAAATGCTTCTGGCCACAGCATCTGTCAAATAAGGGATGGCAGTCTGTTGTACATGTGTGTTTTGTGAACACACCCCTATTTCTGTGATCGCAGATTTCAGAGCTGGATGAGGTGACTTTGATCCAGGTGTCGGTGCCGAGTGAGGTGGCTCACAAGCTGCTGAGATACCTGAAGCAGAGCCTGCCACTGTCCTGCCTGTGCGATCTGTTGTGCTCACATGCTTACATCAAGCACTGCCTGCGTCGCGGTGGGCCCGGTGATGAGCTGCTGTCCAATGCCCTAAGCCCCATGGAGCTGGGGGAGCGATGCCCTGTGGAGGCCGCCTCCTCACACGCCACTCTGGGCTCTGTCTCCAAGAAGGCCAAGAAGGACATCCCCCTGGAGCCTGGCACTGGCTATGACACCGAGAGCGAGCTGCCCAAGGAGGATGACCCCAAGGACCCAGAGGAACTGGAGGAGAAGATCAAAGGTAAGAGCCTAGTACACCCCCCCCCCCCGACAATCTTTATATGGCTACCTGTGCCACTTGAATTGGTCTTCTTCCTGAATTTCGTTATTATGAATGTTGTTTGATTATTTCCTCTAGTTCTTTAGTTGAATTTAGCTGTAGATGACTTAGTGGGTGCTTCTCAGTACCAAGAATGCAAAGATCGTATTTGTGGTCTTGGCAAGAGTGGTCTTGCTAACTTGCCTCACAAGAATGAACTTAAGGCCCAATGAATCATGGTATTGTTCTATGTTTGGCGAGGGTATGACTGATGCGTGCTTGATATTTGGGGTGAGGCAAGAACAACATCCAGGGATTTTTGCCATCCTCTGTACTTCTGTTATTAGTATTGAAACTCGTCTTTGGGAATGGAAGGTGATGTAAAACGGGTACGAGAAAACACAGGTACAGTCAAGTACTACGTACTGAAAAACACTCATTGTCAATCTAATTTTCCTACAAAACAGTCTTGCATTAACTGGTGTATTCTCTCTGTGCACAGTTTTCAATAACCCCAAGATCCAAGGCAAGAAGAGTTGTTTGGAGAAGATGGGGGAGGTGGTGGACATGATCAAGAAGAATTCTTGGGACCTCCGGCTGCAGTTGGCCGGCATGAGGGTCATTTTCAAGCTGCTGGACGAGGAGGGGGCCCAAGAGAGGAGCACCCTGAGGTCGGACTCTGCACAGACCATTCGGTGAGGGTTCGGACTGCTCTTGGTGGCATAGAAACATGAAAATTAATTCCACATTCATAATGTTGCAAATCATATTTTGTTCTTTTCACCGTTCTCCATACAGAGACAAGATCCTAAAGCTTCTGGTGGAGGTGCTGAGTTCTGATTCCTTGTGGAATGTTCTGACTGGCCTGCGGCTAACCCACGCCCTCATGCAGAAGTATGAGTGGCGGGTCTCCTTTGCCACAGAAGGTGGAGTGAAAGCCATTCTGTCCTGCATGCAGGAGTACTTCATGTCTACCCAGGTCCAGCAGATTGCCCTGGCGGTGAGTTTTCAGGCATGCTGAGGGATATGGAGTGTGGTTTTTATTGTATAGATTGAAGTACTGTCAGTTCTTAGCTGCTAATTCCAGAAAGCTATCATGTTCTGTGGCCAACTGAGTGATTATCTCCCAGGCATTGAAGGTCATCACGGGGGCCAGTAAGCACGACCCGCACAGCATAGGCGGTGGGCTACCACTTGCAGAGTCTGGAACACAAATGATGCTTGAAATCTTTGCCAGCATCGGCTCTGCCACCCCCGAGGGTTCCAAGGGGCTCTTGGGTGCCATCCCTGCTGCCACAGAGCTGATGCTCAATACACCGGGGTAGGTGGATGTCAGTGTGGAATACTGCCTGGAAGGCAGTCTGCTATTGTGACTCCAAGCCCTTGGAGTACCTAGAGTTAATAGCGTACAGTGCATCACTTCTAGGTACACATTACTCAAGCTGTTAGATGATATCTGTACTGTTTGGGGCTGCAGGACTGGTGATGGTGACCTGCTATGAAGCAGTGTGATTCTTTACCGTATGATGGTCCATAAGGCTAGTTATAGAAACATTGTAGTTTGAGTTTTCACCTTTAGTCAATTGGCCTTGTCAACCGTGCATGTTCCACTTTTTTAGCTTGGACTGTAAAGTACAACCCGAGTTTCAAAAAAGTTGAGCCGCTGTGCCAAATTGTAAATAAAAACAGAATGCAATGATATGGAGATCTCCTAAACCCATATTTTACATGCTCCTCATAACAGAACATAGAAAGCATATCAAATGTTTAAACTGAGAAAATATATATCTTTTCAAGGACAAAATAAGGTAACTTTGAATGTCATGGCAGCAACACATCTCAAAAAAGTTGGGACAAGGCCATGTTTACCTCTGTGTGGCATGCCTTCTTTTAACAACAGTCTGTAAACGTCTCACGACTGAGGAGATCAGTTGCTTGAGTTTTGGGAGAGGAATGTTATCCCATTCTTGTCTGATACAGGATTGTAGTTGTTCAACTATCCTAGGTCTTCTGTGTTGTATTTTTCATTTTATGTTGCGCGAAATGTACTCAATGGGTGGAAGATCTGGACTGCTGGCAGGCCAGTTCAGTACCCAGACCCTTCTTCTACGAAGCCATGATGTAATTGATACAATGTGTGGTTTTGCATTATCATGTTGGAAAATGCAAGGTCTTCCCTGAAAGAGATGTCGTCTGGATGGGAGCATATGTTGCTCTAGAACCTGGATATACCTTTCAGCATTGATGGTGCCTTTGCAGATAAGCATGCTGCCTGTCCCATATATACTAATTCACCATGAAAGATGCTGGCTTTTGAACTGAGCGCTGATAACATGCTGGGTGGTCCTTCTCCTCGTTAGTCCGGATGACATGGCGTCCCTGGTTTCCAAAAAGAAATTTTTAATTTAGATTTGTCTGACTACAGAACAGTTTTCCACTTAGCCATAGTCCATTTTTAAATTAGCTTTGGCCCAGAGAAGACGTCAGCGCTTCTGGATCATTTTCAAATACGACTGCTTCTTTGAATAATATTTTTAACTGGCATCTGTGGATGGCACAGCAAATTGTGTTCAATGACAGTGTTTTCTGGAAATGTTCCTGAGCCCATTTAGTGATTTCCATCACAGAATCATGCCTGTTTGTGATGCAGTGCCTAAGGGCCCAAAGATCACAAGCATCCAGTATGGTTTTTCGGCCTTGTCCCTTGCGCACAGAGATTTCTCCAGATTCTCTGAATCTTTTGATTATATTACGTACTGTAGATGATGATGATAATACATTCAGCCTCTTACCAATTTTACACTGAGGAACTGCAATTGTTCCAGTATCTGTTGATTAGGGGGATCTGCAGTATTGGGGGATTGGTGATCCTCTACCCATCTTTACTTCTGAGAGACACTGCAACTCTAAGATGCTCTTTTTATGCCCAATCATGTGACTGACCTGTTGCCAATTTACCTAATTAGTTGCAAATTGTTCCTCCAGCTGTTGCTTTTTTTGTACCACTAACTTTTCCAGCCTCTTACTGCCCCCATCCCAACTTTAAGCTGTGTTGCTGTCATGAAATTCAAAATGTCTGAGTTTAAAAATTTGACATTTTCTATGTTCTGTTGTGAATCAAATACGGATTTATGAGATTTTCATATCATTGCATTCTGTTTTTATTTACAAATTGCCCAACGTCCCAACTTTTTTTGGAATTGCAGCTGTAAGTGTAAACCTCTGTGTGGTGGTGGTCATCTCCAACCTGCAGAGCTTTGAGGGATATCTTGCACTGTGTCAGGCCTGCTCATTTGTTTGTGTGCTCTTTGCTCAGGTGCGCGCTGGCAGTACGAAATGGCCTGCTGGTGCTCATCATGCTTATCTCCAGTCACAAGAGCCTGGCTGAGCAGCTGGTGGCTTGTGGTGTGGTCTCCGTTCTGAAGAAATGTCTGTCACTCCTCCGGCCCGAGAGCACGCTGGCCATCGTAGCCCTCAATCACATCTCCATGGTCCACAAACTGGAGAAGAAAGGTGAAAACAGCTGATAACTTAACCTTGACAGAAAAACATGCCTTTTTATATGCTGTTTTCACTGGGCTTTGTGGCAGGAGTAGTAGCTGGAAATGGTAACATTATCATTTGGGTTATAAATTATTGGCACCAAGGCTATTTGATTAAGATTATTGAGGGAATTCAAAATCGTTGATTTCTGTCACAATTCAAATATTTGATTATTTTGATAACCTAAATTCAAAACATTGTGTAACTTTACTGACAAAGTATACAGATATCATGCACTACTACACTATTAATGGTATAAAAAGAAAGTAGCATCTCGGAGCATTAATTTTTATTATTATTAAACAGGGAGAACAAGCCAGTGTCAATTGTCAAAACTACAGAATTATACAGCAAAAGACAAACACATAAACGAAGCAGTAGCAGATTGAGGGGTTTGCCTAGAGTGAAACTCACCAAGCTTCCCGGCACAGATTAGCAGGATAACAGTACATTGTTTTTCATTATGTGGGAAATGAAAGATCAGTTGTGGTGATGTAATAATAATGAATTATGAAAATGTACTTTCAGGCCTCTTCTAAGTGATGAATGAGTTGCCAAAATCTCTTGTCCTCCACGATGTAAAATGACTGATTTTCCCATTCAGTCATCTGGATTGTTCTAGTCATTATGTTTTTAGCTCTGGTGTTGCTAACTTTGAACATCGACTACCAATATCAGCCCAGACTGACACATTGAGCCGGCATCTTGGTTTTTGACTAATATTCGCCAATACCAATATGTTAATCAATATATTGTGCATCTCCAAGGCTAACATCACTTTTTATTTAGCTAGCTAGTTAGCTACCTCAGATTCTTAACCATTGCTACTGGTGCTAGCAACAAGAACATTTTTTTGCTGTACAAAAGAGAAGCTTTTTCAAAAGATCTTTACATTGCAGTGTGTGCTCAGTGCCACAAACCTGGCATTGTCGCTCAAAGATCATCAGGTAGCACTTCCTTAATGAATATTTATGAGTTTTCTCCTGTCATGATACATTTCCTATGTTTGATTGCCACTGTGACTTTACACATCTACCAACAGCACATGATCATGAGAGCACATAATCCAGAAATAGGAGTGTCTATCTTTTACGGAGGATTTTGCCTCCAGAAATCGATCCTGACATCATAGATCGATGCAGTTAAATGGCCACCTTAATAATCAGTTCATTATGTTTCATCTATGATTCGTCTTTCAGTGGAAATCAAAACACTACATGGTGATAACTGATCGGCGTCGTGCTCCCTTGCTTCAGGGGACCATCTGGTTCAAGTTTGTCTGATAGCCTTTTTCTGTGCTGTTTGGGAGCACAGAATCTAAGGAGGAGCTGGACTTCAAGGACACGGAGCTGAAGATGCTGGTGGTGAGCCTGAGGGAGACTACAGCCACCAAGGAAGTGATCATGACGCTGGAGCAATTGCTGTGCGACGATGCCTCCCAGCTGGAGGAGGAGCGTACCCAGGTGACCCGCAGCAGGGAGACCTTCCAGGACCTAGTGCGGCTCATGGAGCAACATCGTGCCGACCGTGCGGTCCAGCTCTCCATCCTCAGGTCTGTGAGATCATTCCCAGCATCCTCCACTACCTTCCTTCTTTACCTTCACTGTGATTTTCTATAGCTTCCAAGGAGGCTAGGCCACTGGCAAGGCAAAAGCTTCATGTAAGTGGGAGCCAAGAGTCTCCTTGCTCTGAAAATACTTGGGCTCTTCCCACAGCAGTAGCAATGCAAAGCACTGTGTCTATTAAATTGTACTGTAATAGTCTATTAAATGGTACCGTTTAGGACTTTGGTCTGTTACCAATGCAGAATGCAAGAAGCTACTAGTTCATTTTATTGTTTGTAAAGTGTCTTGGTGCTGAAAATGGTGTTTGGTAATTGTCGCTAAGAGGCCACAACATTACAGGTAATTATGGGACAGACAGTTTTAGAATTTTGCATGTTTTTATTTTTTGTCCCCTCAGGATTCTGGATAAGTTCCTGGACAGCTATCAGGAAGACGTGCTGCCTTGGCATGAGAGCATTGAGCCGTGCCTGTCCTCTATGACGGCCTTTGTCAGTGACAGAGAGGTGGGGGTTACTGAAGGGGCCTTGGAGAGTAGCAGGCAATGTTTATTATGCTGCTCTCATGGGATTTCTGTTGATTTTGCTGGTTACAAATTCAATTACATCATATAATAATTGTGTTCTCACAGTTGGCTTAACAGATTAGGTTCCCATTCTATGTAAAATCATACAGCTGATTTTGTTGTGTTCTATTTACAGTCAGAAAAACAATTGCACACTATAAAAACTGTATTGAGGCCATTGAATCGATTATCTTTGACCTGCATTTCAAGTTGTGCTGTGTTACATGCATGTGGCTGTAAATATGAAGTTCATTAGTAGGTTCATGGGTGCTGATCTTGCGCTGACTGCCGCCTGCTGGTGCTTCCAGGTGGTGCAGCCCTTTATCCGTTTCCTATACCGACTGGCCACACTGAACAAGGACTATGCGGTGGTCATGTGCCGTCTCGGCACCAAGGATGCTCTGGCAAAGGTTCTGGACAAGCACAGTACCAGCTTGCTGCTGGCCTCAGAACTGCGGGACCTCATCGGGGACTGTGAGAAATACGCCAGCCTCTACAAGAAGATGACCACCAGCATTCTGGCCGGGTGCATCCAGGTTTGGCTGGACCTTTTACTCTCCTTTGTTTTTTGCTCCATTTGCTGTGCTGATGTATGTAAAAGTACTGCTTCTGTAATTTTGTTTAATATGATTGATTGCTGTTGTTGATGGTCTGAAGTCTTAAATGAAACTCATGCAAGAAGTCTCCTTCCCCCTTTGATATTTTTTGACCTGTGGCATCTCTAGGGATGCATTTTCCTTGGCCAATTCCAGTTTTCTTACATCAATAACAATTAGCAGACTAAACATATTTAAAACTACTTTAATGAACTTGGCCTTCTCCAAGCAAAATATTTAAAATACGCTTATCAAATAAAAATGTCTATAAGTGTTGAATTAAATTGGTCACTTCATATGCTTTTGGGGTAGTGTCTCCATGGACAACTTTTTGTTAAAATCGTTGTGTATAAGATGTGAGCATCTTCCCCATGAATGTTTCACGTCACCTGTCATGCAACATTAGGGGAGGGAAGGTGTGGGTCCGGGGACATGCATGGAAACTGAGCTGGGACTATGGATGGGTGATATGGCTGTAATGTAACATCATGGTATTTTTTGTTATCACAATCCACAATATAGATAATTTTTTTATAATGATGTTAATTGACCATTTAACCAGCAAATCTGTCCTTAAAAGAAACACTACTTGTAGCATTATATTAATCCATCCATCGTCCAACCCGTTTATCCTTCTGGGTCTCGGGGGGTCCGGAGCCTATCCCGGAAGCAATGGGCACGAGGCAGGGAACAACCCTAGACAGGGGGCCAGCCCATCGCAGGGCACACTCACGCACCGTTCACTCACACATGCACACCGATGGGCAATTTAGCAACTCCAATTAGCCTCAGCATGTCTTTGGACTGTGGGGGGAAACCGGAGTACCCGGAGGAAACATGCAAACTCCACACACATGTGACCCAAGCGGAGACTCGAACCCAGGCCCCAGAGGTGTGAGGCAACAGTGCTAACCACTGCACCACCATGCAGGTGGACAATTATTAAGTTAATAAACTTAATAATTACGGTATGTAAAATACCGTACATATAAAAGAAACTGACTCATTATAGAGAAGTGCTTTTTAATTTTTTTTAACTATTAAAGTTTCAAAAGGTTTGGTTACAAATGAACATTTGTTACTTTGGTCAGTTGCCACACACTTCTGAACTTAGTCTGCAACAAATACAAATAAATAATAGATAAATAAACATAATAAAAGTTCAAAATCTAACCCTTTTTGTGTCAGTAAGACTGCATAGCCAGACATTGCTAACGTTTCTGGTGGTTAAAAACATTGATTGTGTTGCCACCTGTTACATGAAAGGTATCTTTTCAAAATTACGGTAGGTTGGTCCAAGTCAGATTTTGGAAATCAAACCCATTACCACAAAATCAACGTAGAACCTTCTTTGGAACCTTTTCTTCCTCATGAACCATGCCGCATACACTAATTTGTCAGCATAGTCGACCAGTCTATGGATGATGTGTTTTTTTTAGTTTTTTTTATGGATGATGTGTGACAAGTATAATATTTTTAGAAGTTTGATAGTATATAAAGTTAGTTAGTTAAATGCTTAAAAAAAATCTAGGTTTTTAGTTCAAGGTCTAGCCACTAAATTAAGATTAACCAGTAATTGACAAAGAAGTGAGATGTATACTGTTGATGTTATGAAGGCTGAAATTGCTTTGCTTCACATCTGTTTGGTTTTATTGTACTGTTGCAGCCTCTGAACACGCAGGCATCATGTGACGGGTGCTTGCTGGTTTGTTCTGTCATCGTAATAAGTGTTGAATAGTGCACCTTTAACTGGACACATCTTAACTGTACTTATACCTAGTCATGTATGTTTGCAGTGTGCTCTTTGCCTTATTTAAGATTGGCAATATTTATTCTTATTGACAATAAGATTGGCTCCAAAAATTGACCATGTTTAGACTGATGCCAATCAGTGCGAAAACTGGCCATTTCCAGTCACTAGCCGATAGATTGATCAGCACATGATTAGTCATTTCTCTTTAGGTGGTTGGCTATGTTATGCAAATAATTTTCTCATGCCTGTTACAATAGATGGTGCTGGGTCAGATTGAGGAGCATCGTCGCAGCCACCAGCCAATCAACATCCCCTTCTTCGATGTGTTCCTACGAAATCTATGCCAAGGTCAGTGTATCAGCAGTATGCCGTTTGGTTAGCTTGACCCCTGTTGTGGTTTTGTGAGTAGTTTAAAAGCAACAGAAACCAATCATAATGCTTAGAATAAGATTCTTTCTGTGGGTGCCTTTGATCATGTGAATTGGTTTGCTACTGACAGGGTCCAGTGTGGAGCTGAAGGAGGACAAGTGCTGGGAGAAGGTGGAAGTCTCCTCCAATCACCACCGAGCAAACAAACTCACTGACAAGAACCCCAAAACGTACTGGGAGTCAAATGGCTGTACAGGCTCCCATTTCATCAATATCTACATGCACAAGGGCGTGGTGATCAGGTAGGCGTGACTCGCCTGACACCACACAAGTGGGAGTGTTGTTATCTCTGAAGATCAGAAATCCTACTCTGAGATAGTATCCCTACCCCCATCTCCTTCTCATTGACTTCTGCTGTACAGTTGCCGACTAAATAAAACAAGAAGAGGCAGGTGAGGCTGACTAGCACATCTTGCCTCTCTCTCTCCCAGGCAGTTGGCAGTGTTGGTAGCCAGTGAGGATTCTAGCTACATGCCAGCCCGCATTGTTGTGCTAGGTGGAGAGGACCCGACAAATATCAACACTGAGCTGAACACAGTGAGTGATGCATCCACAGGCAGTGGTTTCCACCTTGTATAACGCACTACCTGTTTTGTGTCCTTTTTTTTTTCTTTCTTTCTCCTAACGTGGCCACGGTGGCTCTATGTGTGGTTGTCAGGTGAATGTACCTCCCTCTGCAAGTCGTGTTGTTCTGCTGGAGAACATGACTCGCTTCTGGTCCATTGTGCAGATCAGGATTAAAAGGTGTCAACAGGTGAGATGAGTATGGATAGTAAATATCCCTTGTGCTTTCCGAATGTTGATTGGATAACTGCCACATTTGCCTGTTCATAACCTGTATCCTCTGATGCAGGGTGGCATTGATACCAGGGTGCATGGCTTTGAGGTCCTGGGGCCCAAACCCACCTTCTGGCCTGTGTTCAAGGAGCAGCTATGCTGTCGTACATATCTCTTCTACACTACCAAGGCCCATACTTGGTGCCAGGAGATCTTGGAGGACAAGGGTCAGCTACTCCAACTCTTCAACAAGTAAGCCTATATGCTGGCCCTGAGCCCTTTTCTCTCAGGAAAACGCCCTCTACAACTCTGATGAGGAATTGCTGTCTCTAGGCTCAACAGCGCTCTTCGGCATGAGCAAATGTTTGCAGAGCGCTTCTTGCCGGATGCGGAGGCCGCAGAGGCCCTGGGTCGTACATGCTGGGAGGCCCTGATTACCCCCATTGTGCAGAGCATCACCCTTACTGGTATGTAGGGGGTTCTCTTGGCTGGAAGGCCTCTTGAAACTGTGCGGTCAGGTGCTGAACTGCCTTTGCTGTCCCCCGTGTGCCAGACACCCCCGTGCTCAGCCCACTGTCCTGGCTGCTTGGCGAGTACCTGGACAACTCTGAAACAGCCAGGCGTGGCAAGAGTCGAGCAGCCATCTTCAACTCCCGCGTCCGCCGGCTCACTCACTTGTTGGTCCATGTGGACACCAGTTGTGCCGATGGAGAAGAGCTCAAGCCTCCTGTGAAGTCCAGTGAGTGGCCCTTTCTCCCCGGCGCCTGCACCACGCACCAGTCTGATGGTCTGCAAATTAGCCATATTGACCCCCGCTGTATTGAAGATATCTGTTTTATTTTCAGAAGGTATCAACAGAAGCAAAGATTCGAAGAGTAAGTAAAGGTTTAGAGGCCTGTTTTAGCTAACTGATATCCCTCTCACCCCCATTATCATAACACTAACCATTGTGAAATGCATTTTTTATTTTTTTTGGGGTGTGTGAACAACCTGTAAGCAGTTTGCCAGATGTGAGTATGTACCCTGGCACTGGTGTGAGTTGCTATCACTGGGCACTATGTATCTTTCAGATGGCAAAGAGGGAAAGAGCAAAGAAGTGGCGACTGTCACAAAGCCCAAAGCGAAGAGCACCAGCAGCATCGCAGGCATAGCCCAGTGCTGGCAGGGGGTGGTCCAGCGTCAGGTAAAGCCTGTTCCAGCCCACGCTCTTCAGGCAGCTGAGCTAGCCAGTCCAAATCCCAATGCTTCCCTTCATAAGCGGCTAGGAAATCAAATGCTGCTTCTCTGCCAACGCAGGTGTCACTGGGTGTGAGCTGTCATGTAGGTCTTACTATAGTAGAAATTTAATGTTAATGTTTGGACACAAGCGTAGCATAACCAGGGAGTCATCGTCTGGTTTCACTTACAAGCAGTGACTAAGGCGCTGGTTGCTTTGGCACAAATGGACCCATAGAGACATTCCTTCTAAATTATTTCCGTACAAGCCGCATCTGGCATAATAGGCGAAGAGTGTAAGTATTTCCTGTTGCCACGCCCACCACACTTTTAGGTGAAGAAGTTTCTGGACTCGGCGTGCAGCATGGATGACTTTGTAGAGCGGTACCGGAACATGTACCTGCGGCTGAAGAACACCATGGAGGAGCTGTTCGGCCAGCAGACGGCCTTCGTGCTGGCGCTTCGCCAGGGCTTCTCCGCTGCCCTGCTGCAGCTGTCCATCCTAACGGCTATGCATGTGAGTGTAGGACAGACCCACATCTGACACCGCGCCCTCTCTGTATCTTTGAGGTAACATGAAGCTTCTTACTGATTAGGTAACCAAAGGAAAAGGTCATCTGGCATTTACTGAATTCACACAGGATGCGTTCTCTTATTTTCATCCACATCTGGAGATTACCATCACAGTTTACACTAACCGTGCTAATTTTTAGAAACCCTATGTTAATTTAGTCCCAAATTGTCAAAAATAAAGGAGATTTGGGGTTTGGCAAAGGCTGAATTCTTGGGTTTAGTGAATGGACAGTAGCTGTGACTTAATGTTCTGCAGGTGAGTGAGCGGTTCGCCCAGTACATCGACCTGTTGATCCAGGAGAGTGGAGTTGACTCTGGCAATTTGGAGACACTCAACCAGCTGCAGCAGTTTCTGGAGCCCATGCTCTTTCTCTCTGGTCTGGAGCTGGCCAACACCTTTGAGCACTTCTACAGGTGACCTTTCGATCTATATTGCCCTTTAATTTAGTTTGGCCCCTGTACCATAAAACTCTCCCCACACATATGGGCCTCCCAGACCCCGCCTACGATGGTGCTCATTGGCTGAGTTTTCTGGTTCCTCCTCCTTGTGCTTTCTGCAGGTACTACCTAGGTGACCGGCTGCTGGGGCAGGGCAAGGTGTGGCTAGAGAGCGCAGTGATCGAGCAGATTGGGACTTGCTTCCCCAACCGCTTCCCTCAGCAGATGCTGAAGAATCTGAGCGAGTCAGAGGAGCTGCAGCAGGAGTTCCACCTGTACCGGCTGCAGCAGCTGGACAAGTCACTGATGGACGTGGACGAGGAGGTGAGCCCGTCTTGATGGCAGCTAAGGATCAGAAGCTGACCTCTAAACATACCTGTCATCTAAGGCAATATAAAGCTATTCTTGGGGACCCCAACTCACTCTGTGTATTTATCAGAGTATTTACTTCATTCCTGGGTTTGGTCAAACTAATAAATAAGCTTAATTAGCTGGATGAGCATTTAATTGGCTGAATTAGCTGTGCTGTGTGCTACCAGTGAATCTGCTTCTTTTGTGCTTTTTTGAGTTTTTTTTCTGGCCTGTCTTTTAATATGGAGGGTCTGCGTGTTTCTGTTTGAGATGATGGAAGACCAGACGTCAGGACCAGAGGAAGAGAGCGAGGTGAAAGTGCTGGTTCTTTCCCCACGCTGCTGGGCCGTGTCCTCGCCCTGCTACCTGGAGAACCCCGACAGGTTTTTTCCCCCACAACTTTGCAGCTACCTGATGGAGTTCACCGACTTCTATGGAAACAGTCAGTAAACCTTGTCTCCTCCTTCTAATGCCACAGAAAACGCTGCCTTCTAGTATATATACAGTATTTGCTGTCATGCTTTTGAATGCCCATATTTGATTGGTGTATCTTTTTATTGGGTGAATTTAAGAATGCATTAGAAACCTATTTGCAGTAAAGGAACCTTGAGTCTGGTATCTGCTTATTCAGTCTTGCTAATTTTCTTCACCTTAATCTTGTTACTGCATGTGTTGGCAGGCCAGAGCATGTACAGCCTGACTCACAGCAAGCCCCGGCACCTGCAGTGGACGTGGCTGGGCCATGCCGAGGTGACCTATGGTTCCAGCACGCTCTACGTCTCCACGCTGCAGATGTACATCCTGCTGCAGTTTAACCACCAACAGGTAGAAATGGACTTTCACCTCTTTCCGCTGGAGAGTCTCAGATTTGTTATTGGATCTGTTATGGTGCCTAGTTAATTGAAAATAGCTTCGCCTAAGTTCTGCACTCTGGAGTGGTCCATGAAGTGTTCATTCCCCCCCCCCCCTTCATCTCTTTGGTAGGATGTATCTGTTGAGACACTCCAGCAAACCACGGGACTCTCGCCTGAGGTCTTGTCCCAGGCCATCAAGCCACTGACCTCAGAGAAAGGCATCCTGATTGAGACTGGCTCCAGCCAGGACCCCATGAAGAGTGAGCTATTGACTATTTTCCCTGGTCACCCTTAAAAATGTCTGTACATGACTATGTACTCCCTACCGTTTTGGTTCAAACCTTAAGTAAACCTAGGGATGATCTTCCAGCTATGTCTGTTCCACACAATTATCCCTGTCAACTAACTTTCAGCTGCAGTGCACAGGTGTACGGAGAATCCATGTTGGATATAGCTTATATGAAAATTCTGATGAGGAAGATGTAACTGAATGCCATATAGAAGTTGCAGAGCTTTTTTTTTCTAAGTCATACTTGTAAAGATGTAAATTTACAAATCATCTTAGCCTGTGCTGGTTCTGATCTGGCTGTAGTTGGGTACTTTGTAAACAGTAAAGGTATACTGGTTATGCTCTACTCTTTGTGACTACAGGATTTCTGAAGCTGAATGAGCAGGCCCTGTTGAAGGCTCTGGATAGCTGCAGCTACTTATACCTGCTACCCAAGCAGACCTACATCAACGTCAATGAGGATGCAGCCAGTGCCCTGGAGCGCAAGAGGAACTACATCTACTGCCTCATCGTCCAGATCATGAAGGCTGAGAAGGAGATGCACATTGACAACCTGGTCTTCAGGGTAAGGCTGTGTGGCAGCGTAAATTGGGTCCTGGGAAGTGAGGGTAGCTGGGCTGACTGCTTTGTTTCCTGGAAATGGAAATGGCCCTGAGGTTGTTCTGTGCACCCTCCTTACTCACATGCATAGGTGCTGGACATGTGCCAGAAGCAGGAGGCCCTGCGGTCACCCGGCGTGGTCCGTTTCAGCTGCAGCACCACGGATGTGCTTTCCTGCATCATGCACGTCATCAGCAAGGGCTACGTGCGGCGAAACGAGGACACCCCGCACATTGTGGAGTTCCTCCCCGAGGACCCCAGCACTCCGCAGAAGGGCCCGGCGCACATATCCCTCAGCCAGGCGGAGCTGAAGAAGGGCATGGGTGGAAAGGCCGCCATCAGGTGTGGGGATGACCTTTGACCGCTGACCATCGGGGAGGGTGCGGTCACATTGTGCAAGATGGGGTAGCTCTGAAGGCAGAGACGTGGGAGTAAAGGACCCCTGAGAGAGTGTGTGTGTTTACGTTCCTGAGCGTGTACCCGTGCCCATGTTCCCAGCTTTCCCAAAGCAGGATCACCATCTCCCCCTTTCCGCTTCGTGACCAACATTTAGTCTGTTCTGACTGGCTCTTTGTTCTACCTGTACTTTAAAAGACTCCCATGTATCTTCTGTTTTGCTCCAAACTCCAAGCATGTATGCTTTTTCCCTGTACTGTAACCACCACCTCCTAATCAGTAAGCTGTGGGGTGGTCTGGCCCTTGCCTTGGGGCCCTTCTCTGTTTTGCTGTCATACCCTACAGTCTGCAGTTCAAGATTTGTCTTTAGTCATCTATGACATACCCAAACTAAATATGCACTATATATGAATGTCTTGTAGTATACAAGAGACAAAATTGTTTCTCATTTTAAGAAAATAAAGAGAATTTTTACCATTCTTTGTCGTTATTTTCCGCCCCACCACCCTTTCGCTTTCTGTGTGCCATCAGATGTGACAGCAGTATTTGGTTATTTTTTGTTTTAAGACATTTGGGAGTATTCCATTCCTTTTTGTTTATGTCAGCTTGTAGAGGGGGAGCTGACATCTATCTCATTTGGATAAATGAGCACGTCATTACATCTTGGTGAAAATGTTTCCTTATTTCCCCCAAACAAACTGGAGGTGACGAAAATAACCTGGTATATCTTTATTTCAAGACCTGCAGTTAGATTATTTCTTCAGGCTTGAACACTTCTTATAGATTTTCACCATACTCAGTGCACAGACAGTTGATTCACTGTCACTAAATTCTTGGAACTGGTATAATCAAATATTCTAATTGCCCTTGGTAACAGACTGCAGTCTCACTGGAGTCAGAGCTGAAAATGCTGCTCAGGTTTCTTCAGGATCTGCTTATTTTTGCTGGTTGTCAGTCCTGTTATATTCTCCTGCCTTTACTTAAGATCAGTATTGGGTGTTTATTCCTTTATACTTCGATATTTTCAGTAGAACTCTAGAAGGGTATTCAACATAAACATGTTGAATGACCCTTAGCAATTTTGAAGCAATGCTGTCAGCAGAGTTTGACCGGTAATCATTTGTGTGTGTCTCCCTCTGCAGTCTGGGAGGCCTCCTTGCAGCACCACAGCGAACAGAAGATGGAGTCCTGGAGACTGTGCTCTTCTCCATGGGCCGCACCATGACTCAGGATGAGGTGCGTCAGCTGATGATGCGCACAGTCCAGCAGGTCTCCAGCACCTTGAGTCTGGACCTGGATCAGGCCGAGCACTTGTTGGTGCACTGCAAGTGGAATGTGGATATTCTGATCCAACGCTACACCGACGACCCGGACGCCCTGATCTTGGCAGCCGGGCTCAAGGGCCGCAACCCCCAGCCGCCCCCCAGCCCCACCTCCCAGTGCCCCGTTTGCCTGACTCCGCAGTCAGGGGAGCCTGACCCCACCCCCACCCTCTGCTGCATGCACTATTGCTGCCGGGTGAGTTTCAATGCCCCCTACCTCATTTTGCACATGCTGTCACTTCTCTTCTTAATAATGAAAGAAAAAAAGACTTGTACAAAGAGTCTAAAATAAGTCCTTTCTTTGTCCGGTCCTCTCAATTATAATATATATTTAATTACTGCACAAATCTGATTTTGTGCCCGGCGCAAAATTCTATATTGTAAGGGATGGAAATGCATAACAGTAATGGAGGAATATCTTGGTGCATCTCTATTGGTCATAATTTTAACTGTAATTTAACAGGCAGTGATATTACAGCCAATTTCTTGTGAATACCATCTGGTGTTGAATCATGTGACCTTGAGAGGCTGGAGCTCTTCTCAAACCTGTTCTTGAGTACCTCTGGCTGTGTATATTTGAAGAAAAGGTTAGCCTAGTCTGGTTCTCTGGTGGACTGCCAGAAAAACATGGAATGATGGGGAACCACAGTGCTGGGTGTTTCCTGCCCTGACTGCTCCCGGAGAGAGCAAGAGGGAACATCCCATTACGTAATCATTACTTTTGAGTTGTACAGTGTGTTAAAATATCCCATTGTGAAATCTTGCCTTGATTTGTTTTTGTTGAATTGCACCTGAAACAGATTTTGTTGTCTTTGAAGGCCGTATTATTCCTGGAGCTCTAGCGTTGATGCTGCTTATCTGTTAGTGTTGCTGGTCCAAATCCTTTGCCTGGCCACATGATTTCACTGGACCCTTGAGCAAGACTCTTAACCCTTGTATGCAACCCAGTTGTTCCAGGAACACTGACACTGTCTGATCCTCACTTATATGCCTCTTTGAACAGAAGTCGCTTCCTTAACTTAGATGACACCCCCATGGCCTCTGATTCCCCTATGATTCCCCCAGGCATAATCCACTTGGTGATTGTATTCACACCATCTCAGAACACTGGGGCATCTCAAGGAAATGAAACAAAGTTTAAAGATTGTAACCCTGTCAATTGAAAACTCCATTGCCTTCCATTGCCTTCAATTGCTGCCTGTCTTACAGTCCTGCTGGCAGAAGTATCTGACTGCCAGGATCGAGCAGAACCTGGTGATGCACTGTAACTGCCCCATCACGGACTGCCGCGCCCAGCCCACCTCACAATTTTTCCTCAGTATCCTGACTGACAAAGATATCATTGCCAAGGTCTGTGATGCCGCCACCTCTCCATTGGGTCCATGGTGGATTATGTTGGTTGCCTACAGGCTTCTTGCTGCAGCTTTGTGTGACTGTCTGTCATCTGTCTTAACACACGCCATGATGGCAAACTACACTATATGGATAAAAGTATTGCGACACACCTCTGAATCACTGAATTCAGGCATTTCATTCAGACCCATTGCCGCAGTTGTACAAAAACAAGCACCTAGCTATGCAGTCAGGTTTACAAACATTTGTGACAGAATTGGTCATTCAGAAGAGCTCAGTGAATTCAATTGTGGGACTGTCATAGGATGCCACCTTTTCAAGTTCGTGAAATTTCTTCCTTGCTAGATATTCCAGTCAACTGTAAGTGGTATTACAAAGTGGAACCATTTAGGAACAACAAACTCACAGACCACTTAAAGTAACAGAGCGGGGTCACCGAGTGCTGAGCGTAAAAGTCACCAATGCTTTGTTGACTCTGCAACTGCAGAATTCCATACTTCCTCTGACACTAACCCCAGCATAAAAACTGTGTGCCAGGGGCTTCATAGACTGGGCTTCCATAGCCGAGCAGCTGTATGCAAGCCTCAAATTAGCAAGCACGATGTCAAGCTTTGGAGGGATTGGTGTAAAACACACTGCCACTGGACTCTGGGACTCTTGGAGTGAAGAATCACACTTCTCTGTATGCCAATCTGATGGACGAGTCTGGGTTTGGCAGATGTCAGGAGAAAGAGATTGCCTGCCTGACTGCATTGTGCCAACTGTAAAGTGTGGTGGAGGAGGGATAATGATCTGGGCTTGTTTATCAGGGGTTGGGCTAGGTCCATTAGGCTACGTTCACACTGCCTGCCACATCGTTCAATTCCGATTTTTTTGCTCAGATCAGATTTGTCTATCTTGACGGTTCACATTCATAAGCACAAGTGACCTGTATCTGACTGTAATGTGAACGCATCGGTCCTCCGAAACGTCACGCATGCGCACATTGCTACGTTTTTACACGGGTAAAAAGCTGGTCGTAAAATTGGCACGTTGTGCGGCCATGACCGCTGCACTGATTCAAGTCTTTTGCCTCTTTAAACTTTGACTTCAGGCTCTTTATTTTTCTTTGGCATTGTAGCCACGTTCGTGTCCGCACTGTGCCGTTTCTTTGGCAATTATTTCAAATACTACTCCATTACGATAGGTTCCTTCCAGTTTAGCTTGAACAGATTCATTTCCCCAAATATCAATTAAATCCCCACCTACTCCATCCTTCCACTGACTGTTATCGCAGCTCTCCTCCTTTTTTACGTTCCTGGGCTGCCGGTGCAGGCTGTCAGCTCATGCGTATAAGCAAAAAGCCACATGAATTCCGATCTGAGCGTTCACATTCAGGTCACATGGCCACGAATCGGATACGTATCCGATTTAGTACCACATATGAAATTGGCACAAATCCGATTTGAAAAGATCAGATTTGCGTGTCCACACAGCCCTGAAAAGATCAGGTCTGTGTTACATTAAGGCAAAAAATCCGATTTGAGTCACCTCAGCATGGCAGTGTGAACGTAGCCTTAGTCTCAGTGAAGGGAACTCTTAAGGGCCGATTTATACTCAAAGCTCACAATGCGTAGTACGCATCATGGCCACCAGTATTTTCTGCATTGATTCCATGCATCATCAGTGCACCTATGCGAGGAATTAATGTGTCTCCTGCGCGAGTTGAAGTACCAACAAAAATTGGGGTGAAAAGTATGGTCACCTTTCGTCATGGTACTGTGTGTTTATATATGGTACAGTTAGTATTATAGTAACATCTGATTTTATTTTAAAGAATGAGTGGCTGGATGACCTGTATATTTTCAGAGGCAAGAGAGAAAATATTCCCTCTGGTACATCATCTTCAAAATTTTATGGCAGTTTGTTTCTAAGAAAGCAGTGTCGTGTACATGGTACAAAGAAATTCTAACATAATTTTTCAATGCAATTCCAGTATTTATAAATCTTCGTGATAAAATAAAAGTGTGTGGGGTTTACATTCCGCTAGAACATGTATATTGTTGTAGGAAACAAAAGCTTAGCAAGCTGTGCGACTTTAATAGAGGTGTAACGATACGCGTATTCGTATTGAACCGTTCGGTACGAGGCTTTCGGTTCGGTACGCATTACAAACCAAACGATTAAAAAAAATACTTTTATCCCTCTGGAGTCGACGGCATCGTCAGCGATGCCGAGTATCTTTCTTGTCTATTTCAGTTCATAACTCGCTGAAATCTTATTATAGAAACATGAAAAAAACTCTGACTAAATCCGTAATCAGACTTCTTTTCAAAACATCCATTGTCGGAAGTATTAAAGTTTTTAAAATTAGTCTAAATCGGCAAGAAAGTAAACCATGTCACCTTACTTTGTTTTACCTGCATCGGGGGCGTGTAGTACCGCTCTCACCTGAAGATCACTATTCACATTCTAAATAGCCGCATTAGCGCGTATTCAAATCGCATTCGCATGGTAATTTTATTAACAGCGCAACGGTGAAATGCGATCCAGAAACATTCCAGTCAGAGCCATAAAAGGGGGGGAGGGACGTGGCCAGGTGACAATGGCTCATTCATACACATGAAAGTTGCTACATATTCAATGACAGGAGCCAGAAATAGTGACATGAGTTCGGTTTTTCTTATTTATAAATCCAACTGAATGTTGCAACTATACGATTTAGTCATCTTCATGTAGCCAAGACTTTGTTGATCAGATATCTTGGATCAAAACAAACTGCCAGCATTGCTTACTATGTACTTTTATTATGTGTCTGCAATTATTCCAAGCTGCATTTTGCAATGTCTATACTTTGATGTCAAATTACAAACTTAACATAAATCTGACATATTTACAAAGTACACTAAGATTAAGATGAGTTTAATGCCAAAACAAATATATAAGAAATAATTTATTTTCCATGAATTAAGTTTATGATATTGAATGAAATGTGTGATCATGCCCCAGTCAGTGAAAGTGTGTTCCCTACCCCTAGACTCCAGAAGGTTATATTTGAAAAAAATAAGAGAATAAAGTGTGTAAAATATAATGCTTTCAGTGCTACTACGCTCAACAAGGCAGCCCAAACGACGTGACAGGCAACGTGTTGACTGCCCCTCCCACCCCCAAACACTACTCCAGTCAGTCAGGCATTTGCTGCACTAGCTCATTGCAAAATGGCTAGTAACGTTAATGCAATTATCAGACCAGAAATAGAGGATCCTCCTATAACCAACAGGTCTGGAGTTTGGGAGCACTTTGGTTTCCCTCTAAGTTATGAGGGTGATGGCAAGAGAGTGGTGGATAAAATGTGGACACACTCATCTTTTTGGAAAAAAAAAACTTAAAAATTGATTGAAACTGAGTTCCATATAAAAACAAAATTGTTCTTTTCTTTCTATTAGTTTATAACTACTACAAAATTACATTCATTTTTTTTATCAGGAGCTTTTTGGTTTTGGTTATAAAGGAGGTTTTGTTTTATTTGCTGCTAAAAAGAAACCTCAGAAGATGTGTGAAGAATAGCTTCATCATTGTTTAAAGTAAAAGAAAAAACAAGATCATACTTTTTTGATGTTTTAATAAATAAAAAAGTTTAAAAAATCAAAGAAATTTGGCTTTTTTTTGCTATATCGAAAACATACCGAACCGTGACACCACTGTGTCGTATCGAACCGAACCGTGATTTTTGTGAACCGTTACACCCCTAGACTTTAATGACCGCTCATTTTTAGGATAATGTAGTATATGTTTAACATTAAAGTTTACCGCCACTACTTTTGCAAACAGCTCTACATGCACTCCGAGCCAATCCAAATCATTTTCATCCTTGCTGTTTAAATCAATCATGAATAGCTGTGTTTGAGAAATTGATTTATTTTTAACTCATTTTTTTACAAATACTGCAATACTTATTGCAGAAATGTTTTTTTTCCCAATATCGTGCATCGTAATTATGAAATACTAAGTGCTACAAGTATTTAAAAATTTGCAGTGAGTATACATCATTTCCTGTCACAACCTCATACAAACAAGTGAGACTGAAAACGAAGGAGCCGACCAAGATGGTTTTCTCGCACTGCCCCCTGGTGGACATGACTTAATTCTCCAGATTGATGTGAAATACTCACTTAAATATAGTTAGTTTTCTGCTTCCATGGTTGGGTGAGTTTGGTGTGGAAGAACTTGATTGGCCTGCACAGAGTCCTGAGCTACATCCAACATCAGTACCTGACCTCACAAATGCAAAAATTCCCACAGACACACTCCAAAAGACTTCCCAGAAGACTGACAGCTGTTATAACTGCAAAGGGGGGACCAACTCCATATTTATGCCTATGGATTTAAAATGTGATGTCATTAAGGTTCCTAAGGGGCAATGGCCAGGTGCAATACTTTTGTCCATATAGTGTATTTTGGCTGCCCCTGATTTTCACCTACACTTAACTGGAAGGTTATATTTATTGTTGTCCCTCTTGATCCCCATGTGATGTCACACTGGGTCTAATTTCAGTGCCACCTGTTTTGTCATTAATTTGAACCCTGGACCTGTTCTCTCTGATCCTTCCAACAGTATAAAAATGCTCTGCTCCGCGGCTATGTGGAGTGTTGCTCCAACCTGACATGGTGCACCAACCCCCAAGGCTGTGATCAGATCCTCTGCAAGGAGAACATTGGCAGCATGGGTACCTGCTCCAAATGCTGCTGGTCCTCCTGTTTCAGCTGCAATTTCCCAGAGGTTTGTGGTGACTCCTGGAGCTGGAATACATTCCTGTCTGAGGGCTTCACTCCCTCACTGAGCTGTGGTCCATCCCTCTATGACGGGCTTGGTCCCCCACTGAGCTGTGCTCCATCTCTGATTCATCTGCCCCTCCTGCAGGCTCACTACCCAGCCAGCTGCAGTCACATGTCCCAGTGGATGGATGACGGTGGCTATTACGAGGGCATGAGTATGGAGGCCCAGAGCAAGCACCTGGCCAAGCTCATCTCCAAACGCTGCCCCAGCTGCCAGTCTCAGATTGAGAAGAATGAGGGCTGCCTGCAGTGAGTGTCGCTACCTATTCCTGCTTTCAGGATCTTCACTTCACTTCCTTCCAGTCACATGATGAGTTTTCAGGACATTTGTACTGGCTAAAGCTGTGTTATTAACATTAACATTTCTCTTGCCTTTAAGTATGACTTGTGCCAAATGCAACCATGGATTCTGCTGGCGCTGTCTCAAGCCATGGAAGCCGACACACAAAGATTACTACAACTGCTCAGCCATGGTGAGCACACGCACCAGATTCAAAGACCTGATTGATTGGCCCTAATTAAAGATAAAACAATCTGAGTTTCCAGGCTTCACCATGTCAGCAGGTGCTACTTTTTAACAATATTTTTATGTCCCTTGAAAGCTACAGTAGAAGACTTGTTCTTGGAAAGGCTCATTTGTGATTATTCATGAGAACAAAATGCTATACCAATGTCTTTTTTCTAAATTATTTTACTGATCTTATGGGCCAGGAAAAATAGCTTTTGCCTCGATCTGCTTTAGAGCGGTGACCATAGAATATAGCATTAGCTGGGCCTGAGAATATACTCTACTGGCAATCCCTGAAACTGATCTGCATTGGGTTTGATCTGTACGTCTCGCTCTCTGAGCAGGTGAGCAAAGCAGCACGCCAGGAGAAGAAATTCCAGGATTACAATGAAAGGTGCACTTTCCACAATCAGGCCAAGGTGTGTGAAGTCATCACGACGCTTTGGCAGCGCTAGAGTGTCCATCTAGCCATTGAATTAACAAGTGGCTGAAAGTTTGTAAAATCTACTAGGGCAGTGGCGGGTGATGTTGAAACTGATGTTTTGCTTGTTTCAAGGACTTTGCCATCAATCTGGAGAACAAGGTGTCCTCCATTAACGAAGCCCTGCAGATGAAGTCCTTAACATTTGTGATTGATGCCTGTAAAATCCTGGCTCAGGCTCGCAAGGTCTGTTAGATATGCCTCTGTTTTTATTTGTATTCGTGCCTTCAAATCTGTTGCACCAAGATGGTGGACAGCCTTGCCCCTGCTTTGCAGGCTGCTGACACTATCAATGCCTTCCAGAAACAGAGACTTATTTGTTTAGTCTAGTCTATGGGTAGTCATTTGCTCTTTCTTTTGTTGTTTGTAATGTTTACTGTTCATTGGAGTCGTAGCTTATGTCTTTAATCTTGTTTTTAATGTTGTTTAGGTCTTGTTGGTGTCTCTTTTAACGTTTCCTTCACTTATACAGCGCTTGGTGACTGTGTGTGAAATGCCCTTTATAAACAAATTTCTTCTTTTTCTTACTTCTATTATGAGGTGGACTGTTGCCCTGTAAGGTGATTCCTTGTCCATTTTAGGTGCTCGCTTACTCATGCGTGTACAGCTACTACAATCAGGACACGGAGAAGATGGATGTGATGGAGCAGCAGACTGAAGCTTTGGATCTCCACACCAACGCCCTGCAGATCCTGTTGGGTAAGTAGGAGCCTGAGCTTGATGGCATGGATTGCAAATTCAAGCGACAGAAATGAAGCTGATTTCTCCATGCTGAAATCAACAGAACATTTGGGGCTGGAAGTCTTGTAGTTTAGTAGGGGTGAAAAAGTTGCTGGAAGACGTTAAGTCAACTCTGACATGTCATCATTGTGATTGGGGATTTAAAATGTTTGGTTTGGTTGTAATTTTTACACCCAAAGGTCTAGTAATATTGTGAGATGAGTCTCCACTTCTGCCTCCCCCCAGAGGAGACACTTCTCCAGTGCACTGACCTGGCATCCTGTGTGCGATTGCTGAAGCCGGAGCACCTCAACACCGGCTTGGAGCTAATCCGTCGCATCCAGGAGCGTCTGGTGGCCATCCTGCAGCATTCTACCCAGGTACCTGCACTACATCTACCTTATGCTATGCACCTAGCTTGTTTAAATCTATGTAGATTTGCGATAATCTGCAAACAGTAAGCCATACCTGTCTGGCCTCTCCTGTCACAGGACTTCCGTGTGGGGTACCAGTCCAAAACGGGGCCTGACCAGGAGGCTGCGCAAGCTTCGAACCTCGCTAACCGCACGGACTCAAACGAGGAGTGAGTATGATGCTTTTGTGAAGATGGACCTGTGCTTGAATCTGGCAGCCAGGTTAGGATGACTCTTTATGTGGTTTCCCTCGCCTGGGACCCTGTTGCCCAGTCTTGTTGCTCTGCCTTGTTCGTCTCAGGGCAAAATCCGATGGTGGCTCAGACACAGGCGAATCTGACAACAACAACAACAACACTGTGGAAGATGGAGGAGATGGGGAAGAAGAAGACGACCAGTATGATGACGAATATGTCCCAGAGTGGCATGAAGAATATGATGAGGACGACATCGAGGATGACTTCTTCTCCGATGACGACGAGTCTGAGAACCTAGAGAGGGACTTCAGCCCATATCACTGAGGGTGTGCGAGTAGGGGTGTTGGGGTTGAAGGGATACGGAGACAAATGATGATGGCAATCTCCCAGCACAGAACTGCAGTCTTAGACATTACCCTGAATCTAGTTCTGCTTCAAAGTCAAAACACCAGAAGCATTTCATTTATCTGAAAGGAACAACACTTCTGAGATTTTCTCGGGAGGTAAATGATGATGGCCCTTTCTTATAGAAGAAAAACAGCAGGTTCTTTAATTTCTATAGAATCGTCACCATTCTTGTTTTCACTCCATGGCTGTGATGTGACTGCTATTATTATTTTCCTCATATTATATCTGAACATTTATAATTGTTGACTATAGCCTAAGTTTATATTATGAATCTTACTTAATTTTACATGTCCTCCAAACTGTTAACCTTAACTATGATTTTATTGAAGGATCTCTTGTAAAGTATGATTTGAAGGAAGTTGATGGGATCATAAGCCACACTTTGGTTTAGTACAGTTGCTACCTATATTTCTTGGTGTTATGATTCAGTAAAGGATTAGCAACATAGTGTGGATAAATAATTTGTTAGTCTTATTTATTTTATACCAATTGGAAACATTTACTTGCAAAATCCATAATACCTTTAATTTCTTAGCACAGATATTTACTTTTTTATTGAATTAATGAAAAGAAGAATGTCTTGGTCCGTCAAATAGGGAAATGGGGATTTGGGGAAAACTGCACTTAAGATTGATTGAATGAAAATGTGAGTACTCGTGTGCAGACATGCTGTTTGATCATGTATACGCTAAAGGGGTACGAGTTTGCAAGTGGCTTTCGGCAGAACATCAGAGGGTCATCAGAAAAGATCAAATCTGCAGGGGCTTAAGGCACCTGGCGTACAGGTGCGGTCAGCCTGTCAAAGGAATACATGAATCGAACACGAAGTCTGTCAACTGTACCAAGGCCTCACTGCAATAATTTGAATTTCTTAGTTCCTAAAAAGCATTCTTTGCTAAGCAGCAACTTATGTTACTTTGCCTTTTTCCTTTTTTTCTGGAAAAAAAATATAGTTTTTGGACATGTTAATGTTCACTTATAGAGGTGAAGATGTTACAGATATCATGCAATGTCCATCTTGGAGGTTGCTGTAAGTTGAAATATATATTCATATTCATCTACTCTAATGTTCTATCTTTCAGAATTAAAACTGAAGTTGTGTGACTTCGGGTTACTAAATAAAGCTTTTTCTGCTAAATGGCAGTCTCTTTCTTAAGCCAGGATAACATTTATTGAGTTGATTGTTATGGTGCGGTGAAAAAAATGGATCTCAATCAGTGATAATTTCGTTGACGAAATATTTTCGTTATAATTTTCGTCAACGACAAATTTTCACTGACGAAAACGAGACGATAGCTAAATAAAAATTAAGTGATGATGACGAAAACTATAATAAAAATATATTGACATTTTCGTTAACTAATAAAAACGAGACGAAAATGTGAGTGAGGGACGTTTTTGGAAATGATCCAATCAGAATTAATCTTGGTGCGTGGCGCGGTGAGACGCACACGCACATTTGGAAAATTAAGATACTGATTCACCTTGCGACGCGAGATGCGACAGTACATCTTGCATACATTGGTGGGTGTCTGTCTGACTTAAACTAAAATGACATGGCAATGGCTGGGAGAAAAAGAAGAGAAGATATATGGAATAATTTCACGTTTGATGTCAAGACAAACAAGACCTTGTGTAAACCGTGTGGAGCGGAAATCGCTGGTAAAAATACAACAAATCTAAAGCGACATCTGCAAGGTAATTTTTTCAGGTCATGCAGTATTTGCAATGGCATTACTGCCAAATACAGTTTTTCTTTTAAATAATTTGGAGTTGCACTTTTGCTTTACAGGAAGAAGAATGTCATATGCAAGTTCTAAACAATGAATATCTAATTTTTGGTTTTTATGGAAAGACGATATTCCACATATTTAATGAGACTTGGCTTTATTTAATTTTAAGTTAGAATATTTTGTATATTACCACGGTTTAACTAAATTACATTTAAATTAAACCCAATATATTTTAGTCAACTAAATCTACAGTAGATTTAGTCGAGTAAAATCTTATGCTTTTTAGTCGACTAAAACTAGACTAAAACTAAAACAAAACAGATGACTAAAATATGACTAAAACTAAAATTGCATTTTAGTCAAAAGACTATGACTAAAACTAAATTGAAATCTGCTGTCAAAATTAACACTGATCTCAACAAATGTTAACAGTAAACAAACAACCCGGAGGAGAATTTCATTCAATGCTAGGCTAGTTTATTCACTTTATATACAAAGGGAGTCACACGTAAGATTTCTCTGAGTGGCTCAACTCCATTACATATGATTACAGGTTATATATGTTTTTGTGATAAGACGTATCCATACATTTCACTTTGACTGGTCAGAAATGATTTCACCTTCATGTCATGGATGTTTTCCCCTTAACAATTAAATTGCTTGTTTCAGCTTAATATGATACTGGCTCCCCAAATATTTTGGTACTTTGCAAGGTCACCATACACTCCGGACCACCTCTTGACTTGAATTCTCTGAGCTTGCTTTGCAATGCTTTGCTTTGCCTTCTGAATCAATCCAGAGTCAGGAACCGCTTGTGTAGTCCTTCAGCATTACCTTTATTGCATTAGTCTTTATAGCATTAGTCTTTATTGCATCCGCGGAGATACGATGAAGACTGGGCATCCTGCAGATATGCCCAGAACAATTGTCTCTACTTGTTTTTTATGCATATCCTGATCCACTGATTCCTAGTATTCCTAGCAGAGCCTTCGCAGCAAGGCGAGTGGGTGACGACCTGGTGGCATAGTCGTAAATCTAAACCTACCTCACACCGGCAACATTTGCCCATTTACGTTTCCAACAGGTTCTTCCCACTCATTGAAACTCCCGCTGAGACACCTGTTGAAAGCGCTTTGGTTATTGGTGATTCCATCATAAGAAACGTCAGAATAGCGACTCCAGCGACCATAGTAAATTGTCTCCCTGGTGCCAGAGCGACCGACATCTCAGCAAATTTAAAAGTGCTGGCTAACAGTAAGTGTAAATACTCTCAGATTATTATCCGCGTCGGCACTAATGATCTCCGATTGAGGAAATCGGAGATCACTAGGGCAAATTTTATTAGAGGTGTGCAACCTTGCGAAGATGATGTGTGTGTCAGTAACGTGCTCTGGCCCCATCCCTGCTAGGTATGGTGATGAAATGTACAGCAGATTATCGTCGCTACATCGCTGGCTGTCGGAATGGTGCCCGATAAATGGTGTGGGTTATATAGACAACTGGCGAACGTTTTGGGGTAGGCCTGGGTTTTTGAAGAGGGATGGTATTCATCCCTCTTGGGCTGGTGCCAACCTCCTTTCCAAAAGCATAGCTCATAGCCTCGAGGCAAATCGCTGGATAGACCCAAGCCCAAGAGGCAGGCAAACTGGCATAACCGACTGCCTGCTAGTCGCTTAGTCATCATCTAGGGTTCATATTATTGGGACTGTCTCTATTCCCCGCACTTTTAATCATTGAAGCCTATTCCACCATAGTGTATGTCATAACAACAAAAATTACAATGAATCCGTTACTAGACAATAGGTGTGATGCAAGGCTTAAACTTGGACTTGTCATTGTAAGACCACTGGCTCCTAAGGCGCTATTAATAAATGAAATGATTACTGATTTTAGTCTTGGTGCCCTATGCCTTATTGAGACCTGGCTTAAACAGAATTAATTCATTTCACTAAATGAATCTACTCTAGCTGAATACAGTTATAAGCATAACCCTCGACCAAATCGCAAAGGTGGTGGTGTTGCTGCTGCATTTTTTCAGTCCAACCTAGGAGTTTCTGAGAAATGTAATTTTAGCTTCAGCACATTTGAAACTCTTGTTCTTAGCCTTGTTGGCTCATCTCTTTGTAGCTCTTCACCCTAAATCACCATTGTTATTGTATATCGACCGCCTGGTCCGTACAGTAATTTTCTTAAGGGGTCTGCTGATTTTTTTAACAAACCTGGTGGTCACTACTGACAAAGCTGTTATTGTTGGTGATTTTAATATTTACATGGAGAAAGACAGTGATCCTTTAAAAATAGCATTCACAGCTATTCTAGACACTGTAGGTGTATATCAGAATGTAGTCAGGCCTACTCATGCCTGTAACCATACCCTTGATTTGATTATTAGCCATGGCATCCTGGTGGAACATGTATCTATTATGCCTCAAAGTCCTCTGCTTTGAGATCATTACTTGTTAACATTTGAAATCTAGTATAGCCTCCTGTTGACCACAGCTTCAAAGTACAGAATCAGATGTTCCATTGCCTCACTAACTACAACAATGTTTATCAAACAGCTTCCACAGTCCTTCAGCCTTACATCTGAAGCATTGTGTGTAAATGAACTTAAACAGGTAACTGCAAACATGGAAAAATCCCTTCGCAGCACTCTAAATATTGAAGCTCCACTTAAGAAGATAAAGCATAAGAAATTAACAAACGGGAGGAGGCCATTCAGCCCATCAAGCTTGTTTAGGGAGAACTTAACTAATAGCTCAGAGCTGTTAAAATCTTATCTAGCTCTGATATAAAGGAACCCAGGGTTTTAGCTTCCGCTACACTAGCAGGAAGACTATTCCATACTGTAACTACATTCTGGGTAAAGAAGTGTTTTCTCAAATTCATTTTAAAATGTTTTCCCGCTAATTTCCACCTATGGCCACGAGTTCTAGTATTTAAACTAATGTTAAAGTAGCCATTTGGTTGAGTCTTATATACCTGGATCATGTCCCCCCTTAATCTCCTTTGCGCGAGGCTGAACAGATTCAGGTCAGCTAACCTCTCCTCATAGAGATAAGAAACCTGCCCCCTGGTACTCTGATCATACGCATAAACTCAAACAGGCATCATGCAAGCTAGAGTGCAAATGGTGCTTAACTAAACTAAACTAAATGGTTTTCAAATCTGCCTGGAAAGAGAGCCTCTCTAAATATAGTCAAGCACTAGTGACTCTTAGGTCTGTGTATTTCTCCAGATTAATAGATGTGAACAAAACAAATCCTAAATTCCTATTTGAATCTGTGTCCAGGTTAACACAGAATTCTTGATTAAACTCGCAAGTCCCACAAGCTCTTAAGAGTGATGACTTTATTAAATTTTTTTAAATGGTAAAAGAACTAAGATTAGAAAGACCATTCAGTACATGTCTGTAACTACATACAGCTGCCAGCCTCCTGCTAGTCTTATGCCTACCAATAATGAGACCTTTGAATCTTTCCTTCCTATAAAACAACAATCAGAAGTTCTGAGCCTAGTTTTCATCCTGTAAATCCTCTATTAGCCTCGTAGACCTACAAAATTTTTCTAGAAAATTGTACCACAGATTAGCACTACCCTGTTAAATGTGTTAAACTCATCTATTAGGCTTGGATATGTTCCAAAACCTTTTAAAATGGCTGTTATTAGACCCATCCTAAAGAAACCAAATCTTGAACCTAGTGTTTTAGGAAATTATAGGCCTACCTCAAACCTCCCATTCATTTCAAAGATCATGGAAAAGGTTGTAGTTTGTCAGCTGTCTTCTTTCCTACAGAAAAATAATATTAATGAAATATATCAGTCTGGCTTTAGACCAAACCATAGCACAGAAACCACTCTAGATAAAGTAGTGAATGATTTGCTTATGGCTTCTGACCGTGGCTGTATATCCTTGTTGGTATTACTAGATTTAACTGCAGCATTTGATACTGTGGACCATAATATCTACTTGGACTGGCTAGAATGTGTGGTTGGCATTAAGCCTGATGATGCATCACTGCTCTCTCAGTTAGAAGACTGTCTAGATATCCAGTGCTGGATGGCAAAAAAAATCCTTATGTTAAACACAGAAAAAACAGAAGTTCTGCTAATTGGTCCCAAGGATGCACAAAATAAGTTTCACCACCTCAACACTGGTGGCCTTCCTATACAACCTAACACAGTGGTCAGAAATCTTGGTCTTCTAGTTGATTCAGAATTATGATTAAATACTCACATAAGTAGCATTACTAGAACTGCGTTTTATCATCTGTGAAACATCCCTTCATGATGCAGAAAAATTAATACAAGCCTTCCAGACTGGACTACTGTAATGCCCTCCTTTCTGGTTGCCCATCTAGATCCTTACATAAACTTCAGCTGGTACAGAATGCAGCAGCCAGAG